CTCTCTCTCTCTCTCTCTCTCTCTCTCTCTCTCTCTCTCTCTCTCTCTCTCGTTCAATACCACTCAGAGTTGAATGCTAATAGGTTGAAAAATTAATTGGTTAAATAATGAAGTTACGGGTTTAAGTTACCAAAATTAAGTTAACGGATTTCGTATATTTTTCCTTTTATCGATTATTGAGATAGAAATGTATTTTCACGACGTATATTAATTTAATTATAATCATTCGTGTTATATAGATTTTTTTTTTTTAATAAAATAATACTTATTCGTAGTTGTTATGGTTGATACAATCTCGATCGAGTTTAAGTAGCTTCGAGTAACGAATTGCGCGAGTTTAATTTATCGAAGTCGACTTTATTCTTAACTCGTACCGTTGAAATTCTTGTCCATCTCTGCCCACGCATGCTTCCAGGAATGGAAGCCCCGATTCGCTAACCAAATATTACAGGGAGGAACAACAGGAGGCCGATCTTGGTGGAAGATCAATAAACGAAAAGATGAAGAGTGGAGGAGGAGGAGGAGGAGGGAAGAGTTTTTCACAAGGTTCCCTTCTAACGTTGTTTGGTCGTGGCAGTTTGAACTGGTAAAGAGGAAGATGAAGGTGTCCCGGTTTCCATCGAGAGCGACACTCGTGTACGCGTCTCGAAATATCTTGGAAGATGCAGTTGGTCCAAATGAAAAACTCGTCGCTTGGGCCAATACGCTCGTCGATTCTTGACAAACGGCCAGGTGAACGTCACGGTGGGACAGGGGAATTGGAACGTTGGTCGACGAGTGAGAGTAGATTAGACATTCGAGGAATGGAGAGGAATAGGTACAGAAGTGTTAGGTACGAAATTAATTTAAGGTAGAGTTACAAAAGTAGATAATGATTGATATGTTCTTGAAGATTCTAAAATTAAGTTATTAGGTTTTTAGTTTTTGAACGAAATGGGATGGAGGTAGAGAGAGATGTGGAGCTATTTCACTCTGTCTCTCTTTATTTGAATGTAAATTTTTAGAAGTGTATATTTTTTTATCATTTAGTGTGATATATGGTAAAAGATCGTTTAAGTACGATTTTATTTATTGGAATGAAGTTTTAATAGTTGTGAAGAGTATTGAAGGTGAGATTATTTTGATGAAAATAGGAAACGGTCGTCAACACGTTCATTGCCAAGAACAAAGGTAACCTAAAATATGTTTCTCGTCTATGAATACAGATTTTACAATACATATAACGGAAAATATGTGTCAATCGTTATTGCGTGTATATTATTCAACGCTTTGAAGGAATACGACCGGAAGGAACAGACTGTCAACTACTTTTTCATTTTCACTAAGCCCCAGAAGCATTTCGCTATGCCATATTTAGAATAATTCGAGAATAGATAGACCTAGAAACGTTGAAACGTAATTCTGACCTAGTTCACAATCGGAGATTGTATCACCTATTAAATAGAACACGAAGATCTTTTAGTCTAGAGGAAGCTTTGACAAGCCCATCTTTGTTTATTTTCCATTTTTAACATCTTAAAAACAAGTGCTTTAATACATCAAACTCAAAAAGGAGAAAAGAACTCGTCAAATCTCAAGATACATAAATTTCCAATTTAAAAATGACAAAATATAAT